TTAAGGGTTTTTTTTTATCCAAATATCAACTCATAAAAAATATGCTAACAATGTAGAATAGCTTAGGAAATTTTATTATAAATTATACATATGCTCCTGTTTCTATGAAGGTTAAATTTTATCGAAAGTCAGCTTTCAGTGATTTGAAAAGAGTTAAAATTCTAGAGCTGTTCAGTGTAGGGTTGTCATAGGCGCCTCAGATCTGCCCGTGCTTTGGGGTCCCATTAGCAAGATCAAAAACTAAGTATTTTCAATGATTTCCTCTTGTATATTTGTCTATGAACTTAGGAATTCCAAGTCAGCAGTTGAAATCTTTGAATTCCTTCTAGAAGATGAATTCTCAATCACTAGGCAGTTAAAATTCTTTAGAATGGCATAAATCAGAATGGGGCCTGTTGCCTCAGACTCATTCAGACACCTCTAGGTCCCATTCATGGGTAGCTCATTATTTAAATCAAAGTAGGTCCCATTCATGGGTATCTCATTATTTAAATCAAAGTAGGTCTCATTCATAGGTATCTCATAATTTAAATTGATGTTTTAGTCTAATTTAGAAACATGTAGGTCCCATTCATGGGTATCTCATAATTTAAATTGATGTTTTAAATTAGAGCATTGACTGAGCATTAACAATACCTAAGTAAAGAGGCAACGTTGATCCTATATCTCCACCTGTGCTTTTAAACCAGGTCAGCCAATCAATATACCAATTAAACAATGGTTTACGGGCCTATTCATAGCAAGAGCTACTGCTGAAGTTCTGTGTGTTTCCATTTTCATTTTTCTTCCTCTGTGTCCCTGTGCTTGCTCATTAGAATGAAACTCAATTTCATTGAATAACAATTTGATGATCGATTTGGTTATCCTGGCGTTGACTCTTAACATTTTTCAGAAATCTGTCTTTTATTCATTTGCTTGTTGGCTTTTTCTGTTTCTACATATATGGGTTAGCGCCAGGGGTGGGCAAACTTTTTGACTCGAGGGCCACAATGGGTTCTTAAACTGGACCAGAGGGCCGGAACAAATGCATGGATGGAGTGTTTGTGTGAACTAATATAAATTCAAAGTAAACATCATTACATAAAAGGGTACGGTCTTTTTTTTTCAATAGTTTTATTCATTTCAAACGGGCCAGATCCGGCTGACGGGCTGTAGTTTGCCCACGGCTGGGTTAGCCTCTCTGAAAACTATACCTCACTTTCCTGTAACTCAGAGGAATGCTCTATGGCCAACATTTCATGCAGGCCTATCCTGAGCCCTTCTGAGGAAAGTCAGATCTACTGCTTTCTACTCAAACAACCTTCTGGTACTTCAAATCCCGATAAGTGTTCTCAGAGCAGTAAGTCTGCACTCATCATGAGGAAAACCCAAGAGAGAGCTCAGGATCATGGGATCATCTGGGGAGACCCCTATGAGAATTGATATATTAGGATTCAACATATTGATTGATTCTAGAGGCAAAGGGAAAATTGTTCTTAAGTTATTCCAGCCATGTCTGTGTCTAGCGCTCCGTGAATTGTCATCAACACTTGCGGTGTTATGAGTTATTTCTTACCTGGCCACCCCAGGAAACCATGGATTAGAAGGGGCTGGAGAGCAATGCTCATGGAGGTCAACCTTTGCCCACAGTCGCCTGTCAGAGAAATGAGCCCACGGCATGTCAGAGCACATCCAACACACGCATTTGTGAAATTCTGAATTCTTGGCTGAAAATGAATGTGGGACACCTTTGTCAGTAAATGTTTGGTGTGTGGCAGTGATTTTCAACGCTTTTCATCTCATGGCTTACATAAACTAATGACTAAAATTCTGTGGCACACCAAAAAATATATATTTTTCGCTGATTGGGCAAAAAAATAATAGGTATAATTTTTATTCATTCCCACTGGACGGCTATTGTTGTGTTGGCTATTGCCATGTTTTTATTTGACAATCTAAGGGGAAAGAGGTCCTTGTCCCTGACTCAATAGTCATGTGTTGCATGTTTTAAAAATTCCTACGGCACAGCGGTTGACAATCACTGGTGTATGGCATGTTCTTCACAGAAGCTTGCCCCTCGGAGCTGGTAAAGAGGTTCCTAGAGCCTCTATGTATGTATTCATATTATTTTTTAACTTTAAATTATTGTGCCTTCTGGATTCACTGAAATTTAAAAATTGCCATTTGGTTTTTGGACCCAAATGCTTTTATTTTTTGGTGGATTAGCAATCACAGTTTTATCAGTGCCTGCCTCCCCCTCTCCATTCTTACCAGTTCTTTCACATAAAGAAAAATATGATGAAATCTATATATCAAGACAGCTACATGCATAGATACCAGTAAGCACATAGATCAATATGTAGAAAATGGTAGAGAAGATACGCAAACTGTTAAAAGAACAAAAGGATAAAGATATAAACAAAGATTTATGTAGAAAAAGATGTAAATTGTATGTGAATGTGTCTCCATTATGTAGTTAGAAATCCTGAAAAAAACAAAAAAACAAAACAAAAATAGTTACATTGTGAGGCAGTAGCTGAGACCATGTGGATTGTCTCAGATATATTTTTCATTCTAAGGGAATGAGATTTCATTCCTTGTGACTGTGCCCAAAGAGTTTAAAGTCAGGAAAATCATATTTGTGGCAACTTTAAAGATGATTTCATTCGTTTTCTTTTTGTTAGGGAGCATGCCACCAAGGAATCTTCTCTTTATAACCATGTCATACTTTTCAGATCTCATCATTATCTTCCAATTATGAATCTTTGCAAATCACAAGAGTGGTTTGAGCTCAAGAAATGATGGAGGAGGGCAGAGGAGGGAGCTAATCAAACAAAAGTTTTTGAAATAGGTGTTGAAGTGTCCATATGTATTCCTTCTGAAATCCAATGTTATTCACTTAAGGCTATCATTAGGAATAATTACTTTATTTCTACATAGAATTTAATATTTCCTAAGTGTTTATGCCAAACACTGATCATGTAAATTTATTTAATCTTAACAGCCTTATTGTTACTCTCATTTTTTATTTTTATTTTAAATATGTTTTTATTGATTTTAGAAAGAAGAAAGGAGAGAGAGAAGGGCATCCATTGGCTGTCTCCCCTATGCCCCTTGCGGGAATCCAAACAGCAACTTCTTGTTTCATGGAACAGTGCTCAACCAACTGAGCCACACTGGTCAGGGTCATTACTCTCATTTTTAAAAAGAGAAAACTGAGGCACACAGCCATAACATAGCTTACTCCAGGTCCTATTGTTGGTGAAAATGGGAGCTCCTCATGAGACAAGGAGAAGGGAGTTATAACAGGGATCAGAGCATTTGCAGCTGTGGAGCTGGTATAGACGTCTCTGCAGTGCTATTGTTATTGCTTCTGGTGATGGGCAGGAGAGCTGAACGGGAAGTGGGAGAGACCAGGCACATGGCAGAACAAGAAGACAACTGAAGCCTGTGCCTGGCTCTCTTCCTCCGTTTTCCATGTGGTGGGAAACCTGCAGAAGACGATGCCCCTTCTCATAGGGCTGCACATGTATCCTCTCAGGATTTGGAGAAATGAAGGAGCGGATCCGAGAGTTTTTGAAGGAGCTGTGGACTTGAACTCTGCTCTATGCCAACATGGTGAGTTTGAAAATCTGCTGAAATCCCCATGTGCTGCCCCCGTACCTGATACCCTATGCCAACTTGCCACCTACCTTCTCTACTCCTGCCTTTGAAATCTCAGGCCAGACCTGACCAGGACAATGAAGTCATCCCTTGGGATCCATGAGGGACTGGTTCCAGGACCCTCCAAGGATATCAACATCCATGGATGCACACATCCTTTAGTTGGCCCTCTGTGTTCATGGGCCCTTCATTTATGGATTCAACAAACAGCAGATCCTCAGAGGCATAATCTGAGGATACAGAGGGCCAGCTGTATAAGGAAGGGAATTCTGGAAATGCAGTCCCAAGCTATCTAACTGGAGAACAGAGCCATGACAGACACTGTTTACTTAGCTTCTACTGTAGGCTAGTTACTGTGCCAAGTACTGTATAGATTTTTAGAAGGATGCATTACACATGTCAAGTATATAATGTCAAGTGTAATTGTTGCACATTATATATGACATGAAATTTATATAGCATACTAGAGGCCTGGTGCATGAAATTCATGCATTCAGGGGAGAGGGGGTCCTTCAGCCCAAATTGTGAGAGGGCACAGGCCAGGCCGAGGGTCCCCACTGGTGCAGGAATGGGGCTAGGAAGGGGGATGCAGGACGTTGGCCAGCCGGGGAGGGACCACAGGAGGGCTCCAAGGTGTGTCAGGCCCATCTCGCTCAGTCCCGATCAGCTGGACCCCAGCAGCAAGCTAACCTAACAGTCGGAGCGTCTACCCCCTGGTGGTCAGTGCATGTCATAGCGAGCAGTTGAGTAACCTTAGCATATCATTAGCATATTACACTTTGATTGATTGAATGGCGTACCGGCCACTTAGCATATTAGGCTTTTATTATATAAGATAGGTCAAGTATTATCAAATACTTACTGTAAAAATGTAAATAGAATGGTTGTGTGTTATGGATTGAATTGTGGTCCCCAAAATTCATATATTGAAGCTCTCACCCACCACAACCTCAGAATGAGACTCTGTTTGAAGGCAGTGCTTTTAAAGAGGCAACTACGGTTAAGTGAAGACATATGGGCAGGCCCTGATTCAATCTGACTTGTATCCGTATAAGAAGAGGGGGTTTGGAAGCACAGACGGACACCAGGGACACATATGAACACAGGGATGACAACATGAAGCGGCAGCAAGAGAACAGCCATCTGCAAAGTCAAGGAGAGAGACCTCAGGAGAAATCAACTCTGCCGTCACTTGGCTCTTGGACTTCCAGCCTCCAGACTGTGAGAAAACACATTTCTGTTTTATGAATCACCCAATCTGTGGTAGTTTGTTATGGCCACCATCGCAAACTGATACAGTTTGTGGGGCCAAATTTACTTAATTAGGATGCTTCTGAGTCAAAATCCAAAAGTAGAGATTTATTAAATCAGTAACTGCTGGGTCCCTCTATCAGCCACGAGGGAGGGTCATATCTCCACAAGCAGATTGAGTAAACATCTGTTCCCGGCTATGGAATTTTTTAAAAGGAAACTGTATGTTCAAGCATGTGCAAACTCTTTTTTTTCCTTTTAAATACACCTTTTATGTTAGTCAAGTTTCACATTTATGGAAAAGTTGTAAAATTGCACAGCATTCCCACGTACTTTGCCACCATTACTGGCATCTTACATGGGCATGGCACACTTGTCAAGATGAATAAACCAGTATCGACACAGGCCTTTTAACAGTCTTCATGTGTACTGGTTAGCTATTTTTTGTAGCGTTTCACTAATTTTGGATTTGTGTAATGTTTTGTTCCTAATGAGATTGGAGCAATGTGTTGGGGGAGGAAGACCGCACAGGGAAAAGCGCCATTTTATTACCTTATCTCAAGTACATACTATGAATAAGTTTATACCTGTTGAAGTTAACTTGACCACCTGGCTGAGGTACTGTTTGCCAGTTTTCTCTACTATGACATTACTTTTTTTTTCTCCCATTTCCAACTGTACCCTCTGCCTGGGGGA